GTGAATCCCCTATCACATTGTTTCGCAGTATGTCCTTGGTCAAGACAAAGCTTACAAAGTCCACGTTGACGAACAGTCTTTAGACGGTCATTCAATGAGGCACTTCTGAACTTTCGGCACCTCCAAACATTGTGAGGTCCGGAACACTGAGCACACTTCCAAGGGGGCCTTGGTGATGTTTTCTGGCTTAGGCAGTTCTGGTCAGTTTGAGTCGCAAGGGTAGTAAACTTGGGAGGCGGATCCTTTATCTTGTTTGGTTCCTTTTTTTCTCGGTTACCATGAGAAGAGGACCCTAATTCTTGCCCGTATCTATTGTTTATACGATCTGCAACTCTTCGAACAAATTCAACAAAGTCCGCAAAGTCCGCTCGACCTTTTCGCTTGATGAGATCTCCTGCTTTATCCACCCACTTCCTTTTCAGGCCCTCATCAGGGAGCTTTCGCATCAACGAGATTATGACATCTTCGTTGTCTAACCGACTCACGTAGTTGTGACCCATACTGGTCAGGACCCTCCTAGCATCTTCCAGTCGCCTTACAAACTCCATGAGAGTCGTCGCATCTGCTTTCCGCACTTGAATTTCTCTCAGTTTCTTCATGTGGGCTTCTACTATCATGTGAGGCTGGCCAAAGTTCTCGCTAAGAGTTCTCCAGGCTTCTGTGTACCTTTCACCCACTGTCAAATTAACACAACTCCTAATTGCTTCTTTAGCTTTGCCTGAGCACTGAGCTAAAAGGCGTGTCAGTCTTTGAGACTCATCAGACACCTGGTTCTCAATATTGTCTCTAAAGTTCGTAACGAACTCCACATACTCCAAAGGGTCTCCACTGAATTTCATCAACTCTACTTTCGGTAAGGATGGCCCTTGCTTGATTGCTTCGGCAACTGCCACCCAAGGATCAGGTTGCATGCGTGACTGCGGACTAGCTCGCTGCTCAAAAGGAGGGGCTGAATAAATGTACGTTGATGTGGATTGCTGAGGAGTGTCGGCAGGATAGAACTCGGTTGCTGATGCATCTAAACCTACAGTTCGTGGACTACAAGACCATGTAGGCATTCCTGGTGATTGGTGCATCGACATTGGTGATGCCGCAACAGCTGTGGATGTTGCCCTTGGCAAATTAAAACGAGGTACATAACTGATAGGCGTGCTGAACTTAGTACAATTAATTGGAGCCTGGGTAGTTAAACTACTAGAACTCGTCTTGTGAATTGCAACTCTTCCTACGTTTGGACCAGAAGTCGTGACCGCTGACCCTGATGTTACGTAACTCGCAGTCACCAATGATGAAAGTGAAGTTTGGGCAATATCTTGTGCTGAAGATGTTTGCATTTTTCCATTGTCAACAACTGGCTGGGATTCTGAAGAGGGTGTGGCACCACCCGTAACAGGCTGTGACAAATGCCCCTTCGCAGGAGGATAATTGGCACTATGCTCTTTTAAGTAATCATTCATCCCATCCTTCGCTTCATTCTCTTCGCCGCGCTCCAGCAATAAGTCAATTTCCGCCTGCTCCATCTTAGTTTTAGCACTCAACAGCTCTAATTTCCTGTTTAACTCTGCTTTACTTCTTTCTACTTCTTCTAATTTGCGTTCTAGTTCCTGCTTTTCCTTTAGGGTCTGCACTTCCAATTTAGCTTCTACTGCCACCCTTCTCTTCTCTTTAACACTGCTTCTATTTGACACACAACTTCTCTCGCTCTTGTCAGACCCATGGCTCAATCCAGATTCAGAAGGAGGGGTACCTACTCCCTTTTTCCTCCACTGATTTATGAGGATTTCTAACTGTAATTTCATTTCTCGTTCATTCTGATAACTGTCAATAATAAATTGTTTTTTCTCTTCATCATCTTCAAAGCTGAAGTAATTATCATGACTGACAACAAAGTTACGAAATGCTTCTTCATACCTGTAAATCTCGGCTTCCACTCCACTTATCTGTGTGCTAGGGCTTAAAATCAATTCTTGTACACAATTTCGCCGTTTCCGCAGTTCTCCAAGATACCAGTTTCGCTGACGCTTCGCATGAACCGCTTTCTCGACTCGAACTTCCAATTCATCTATTCTTTTGTTCGGCTCCCTTAATCTAACAGGCCTGGAACTACTGCCTTGTTCTACCGGATCCTCGCCATAGAAACCAAATTCCACGTTTCCACTTGTTAATGATGGCCCTACTTGCTCTAATCCACCATTCTCATCACCTTGGAACGTGCGCTGAGGAGATTTCTCTGTTGACGCCGAATCGGGAACATTTTCCTTCTGTGGAGTCACGTGAGTCGCTGCTTGCTCGTGTCCACCTTTCTTAGCACTACTTTTTGATTTCTTTCTCTTCGAATTCTTGCTAGTCAGTCCGTTCCTTTAACCACAGTACTGCTTGAAATCAATAACTTCGAATGATGTAGCGTCCACTCATAGCTACTTGAAACTGTACTTTAATCAGTTGTTCACTTGCTTGTTCGTTTCTAATCTGCACATAACTTGTATTCATTCCATTCCATTCACAAATTGCACGTGAAAGAGAAAGATTCGCTGAAATAACAACAACGCGACTATTACAAAGATGATATTGACCGAATAACCGAAATACTGCATACTTACAAGTTATTGTGCCTTCTTAATGGAAAGGAAAACTAGTCCTAACGAAACGACAGTATAACTCCATAACAAAACATGTGCTTTCTCGTGGGAAAGAGCGCCCGCGATATTTTGTGTGCGGTTACCGAAGACCACACCATATAACGTTTATTTTCTGTCTCTTACAGTTTTGCATTGTGATGTCCTAAAAGTATTCAGCCTTAGTTTAGTTAAAATATTTCCAGCGTAAAGCAAATCCTATTGAATTGGAAAGGGAAGGTGAATATAAAGAAGCCTGCAGAACAGGAGTCATCTCTTCACGTTTTTTTATGCGAGTGAAGATATGCGCGTGCAAGCATTTTCACCCGTCGTGCGTGTCTCGCGCTCCACACACGCTTTGTGCCAAAAAATAGCTGCTATTCTGCAGGCTGCAAATAAAGGGGTGGCGGCAGAATAGGCAGAAAAAAAAATAAAAGGTGATGTTATGAAAATGGCATAAAATTAGCCCTAATACAGTTCAACCTCTCTAATACGAACACCGAAGGAACGGAGCGAAGTGTCCGTATTAGAGAGGTGTCCGTATAAAAGAAGTCACTACAATGACGTCACTTTTATGACTCCACTTTACTTCACTTACACAGTTTTAAATGTTCAGCAGCTAAAACCCGCTTCAAACTCGTCTTTAAACTGCATTTAATTTTATCAATTCACAATACAAATAGTAGCATACAACATTGTACATCTCAGCTACAAATTAATTACAGTCGTAGTCATATCACTGTTTTAAAACGAAACTAGCTACAGCCCAATACTGAATGTGAAAAGTTGTAACGTAAAGCAGATTGTGAAAGTGTCTTTTGCTATTTTCCAAGTGCAGTAAACAGTAACTACAGTGCAAAATGTAATAGAAAAGATCGTTATGCTATCTCTAGTTATTTGAGACTTAAAAAAGTTGGGTATGTTCCTCTGTGTACCTTTCGCAAATCGTTGTTTGATATACAGCGACTGGGCTTTTGAAATCACCTTGCATAACTCATCAGCCAGACTGGGTTCATCCTGTGCAGATTCACCTGATCGGGATTTGGGATTCACCTGATCAAAGCAATGTCCGTAATAAAGAGGTTAAGTTTGTATGAATTTACTTTCTGGGGCCGAGATGTAGTGTCCGTTGTCCGTATTAGAGAGAGTCATAGAAAGAAAAAATATGACAATTTTGTTGAGACATTGGAAACTGTCCGTAGAAGAGAGGTGTCCGTATTGGAGAGGTGTCCTTACCGAGAGGTTCGACTGTAGTTACCGAGACTTTCGAGAAACGGCCCCCCCTCTAAACAACCTACCCATTGTCAGAGCTGGCTCTAAACGATATACTCGGTTTGGGAACCCATTACTTCGTCCAAGTGAAGCCAAACTATTTTTAAGCGTTTTTTATCATCATTTAGTAGTATCTGACTCTGAATAAGTTTGAATTAGTTTAGATTTCTGGGAAACTGCCCACCCACCCTTCTCCTAAGCCATCATTTTCGACAAGTGAGAGGTAAGTGTTAATGTTAGCTTAGGGGAGGGGTAGGTGGGCAGTTTCCCGGAAACCTAAATTGATCCATAAGTTTTAAGGCAAAAAACGTTTACAACTCTTGTGGTTCCATTAAAAAAGGTGCCCGTTTTGAGACTCTAATGGACAAAATCCGTTTTCATGAGACCAAAATGGCTAACAAAACTATACCACTTGTGGTACACACCTACAAAGCTTACAAAGGGTATCACCCCCGGGTATCAGAAACACTTGTGAAGGCCGCAAAACCACAACAACACACTGGTGAAGGTCCGCCGGATCTTTAGTAGACCTGTATCAGTAAAATCTTGAGTACCAAATTTTAAACTTAAACCAGTAAACTGATCCTTACGGCAGGAAGAGTGATAGAAAAAATAAATAAAGAAAGCAAAAATAAAGCGGTGAATTATATTTGCACGATATTTCAGTTTACAACACAAACTTTCAAAGGGGGCTATAACAGAAAAATGAATACAGATAAAAGATGAACGGGTATGTTGACACTAATTGCAGAGAAAATTAACAGTAAAGGGATAGAGCATTTCTAAAGAAACTGTGTTCAGCCACCACTCAAGACCCTAAAAAACACCTTACCTTGTTCAGCCGTTTAGGTCAAATATGGGATTGCAATAGTTTCTTATAAGTATATCAAGATTTAAGAATTGTTTTCAAGTTTGGGGATACCTTAATTTTTTTAAGATATAGAATCTTTACGGATTAGCAAATTTGGATCTTGGTCATGCTCTAAACAAGCTTGTGTTGGGAAGTCAATGTTTTCGCTTCATACACCGTGTTATCTACGTTATTGATAATTTTTCTGAACTAATTTGTTTTTAGCAGGATTAATTTTCCCAAGCATCAGATGTACATCAAATATGGCCTCTTCAAACGAATATACGGATGAACAGCTGAACTATTACAGAATCTGTCATGTAACTACTGATATACTACCGGAGGGTCTGAGAGAAATATTTAAACAAGAATGGGACAAACTGTACAAAACAACAAAAGGAGAATGGAAAGACGAGCCTCGTAATGGAATGGACTTTTATAACGGAGAGTCTCCTCCAAATCAAAAAAGAAACGCTCATCTTTTGGACACTATGAAAAACGGAAGCAGTGGGGAATGGGATTGTACAAAGCTATTTTACGCTATCCTTTTCTCTGATTGCGTCGGGCCAAGTCTTAGCGCAATAGTCAGAAAAAATGTAGATGACCTACGAAATTTCAGGAATGAAGAATTCGCTCACATGCCACAAGGCAGTCTCTCTGAGATCGAATTTAAGAATGCTATTAGCAAAGTTGATGTTGCGTTTCAAGCCCTTAGTCTTCCCACTGTAAAAATTCAAGACCTAACACATCAGAAAACTTTTCCAACAAAAGAAGTTGATAATCTGAAACAAGAAGTTCAAGAAAAGGAGAGTCAGCGTCAGGTCCTTGAAGATCAACTCCAGAACGAAGCACCCTCATTTTGTTTTCTCCCTCCTAAACCTTCGCATGAAATCGGTGGTCGTGAAAGTGAAGTAGCTAAAATAGTCCAACAGCTGAGGGAACTTAATGAGTCCAGTGACAACAGGTTGAGTTATCTATACATCTCAGGGAATCCTGGAAGCGGCAAATCACAGCTAGCTGGCCTCGTAGCTGAGACATTTTTTAACAACCTCAAAGAAATACAAGGTGGGTCTTCATTTGTAATGACCTTAAATGCTGCAAGTCCAGCTTCACTTTTGGATTCCTATGCGTCATTTGCTCGCCATTTAAAGTGCCCAGACTATTCAGTTATGGAAACCCTCAGCTCAAAGGATTCGACCGTGGACGAAAAGATCACTAGTCTTAAGATGCTTGTCGCTGTAAAAATTAAGTGTTACACGTCGTGGCTACTGGTGGTTGACAATGTCACTACTCTGTCTTCAGTGCATGTCCATTTACCACAGTTTGAAAACGAGGCTTGGGCAAGGGGCCAGTTGGTGATTACGACCCAGGACACAACATCAATTCCCTCAGAAAGCTCTTTTGTTAATCACATCTCGGCAAGCAAAGGTATGGATTTCAATGACGCCCGTTCATTATTGTCCAAACTTTCTGGTATCCCAGATAGCGAACTGGTGGGAACAGTAGCACAAAGACTGGACTATCAACCTCTTGCTTTAGCAGGCGCTGCCGTCTTTGTTAAAGAGATTCGGCAGGACAAGGTATCGACGCATTTTGGGTGGGAGGAATACCTGAAGATCTTAGAAAAAGGCAAAAGAAAGAAAACGGAGTATTTTCTTGTCAACACCAATCCAGTTTATCCAAATTCAATGACCAAAGCAATAACGTTAGCCGTGGAAACACTGATGGGATCCGACAAATTTCAAAAACACCTTTTCACTTTTCTTGCCATCTGCGCTCCACGACCACTGAACGTCGACATAGCAGTTAGCTACATCATGAACGCACATGAAGAGTTTGATGAAGCGGACAAAGAATTAATTCGCATGCGATTAAAAAGAAGCTCACTTGTGCTTTTCCAAGATGACGAGGGTGGCTGTTTTATTTGTCTTCACCAGGTTGTGCATGATGCTATACAAACTGTAGCAAAAGAGTGTGCAGAAAGCCAAACCGATGAGGTCATTAGTAGGGTCATTACATCATTTAACGAATTTATCGTCGCAACTCCTCCAGAGAATGAGCGGCTAAACACCAGACACATCGCTCCACATTTGAAAGCTTTAACTACAGTAACTGACAAAGTGTTTTTGCGAGATAATTTCTTTCAAGTTCATGGTAAGGAGATATCCGAAAAATGCGAAAACCTTGGAAATATTTGTCAAATGCACTGTGAATTTAAAGGAGCCAAAACATATTTTGAATATTCACTCACTTTTACGCTCCAAGAGTTCGGCCCGAAACATGTTGATGTTGCAAGAAGCTACACGAATTTAGCTTCAATTTACATTGCTTTAGGTGACTTCGAGCAAGCCAAGGAGTATCAGCAACGTGCTCTGGACATCCAATTGGACAAGCTCGGCCCGGAACATGTTAATGTTGCAACAAGCTACACGAATTTAGCTTCAATTTACATTGCTTTAGGTGACTTTGAGCAAGCCAAGGAGTATCAGCAACGTGCTGTGGACATCCAACTGGACAAGCTCGGCCCGAAACATGTTGATGTTGCAACAAGCTACACGAATTTAGCTTCAATTTACGAGAAATTAGGTGACTTTAAACAAGCCAAGGAGTACCAGCAACGTGCTCTGGACATTGATCTGGACAAGCTCGGCCCGGAGCATGTTGATGTTGCAACAATCTACCATAACTTAGCTTCGATTTACAAGCATTTAGGTGACTTTGGACAAGCCAAGGAGTACCAGCAACGTGCTCTGGACATTGTCCTGGACAAGCTCGGCCCGGAACATGTTAGTGTGGCCACAAGCTACACGAATGTAGCTTCAATTTACACGAAATTAGGGGACTTTGAGCTAGCCAAGGAGTATCAGCAACGTGCTCTGGACATTGGCCTGGACAAGCTCGGCCCGAAACATGTCGATGTTGCAACAAGCTACAAGAATTTAGCTTCAATTTACAAGAAATTAGGTGACTTTGAGAAGGCCATGGAGTATCAACAACGTGCTCTTGACATCCAATTGGAAAAACTGGGCCCGGAACATGTTGATGTTGCAACAGGCTACCATAACTTAGCTTCGATTTACAGGCATTTAGGTGACTTTGAGCAAGCCAAGGAGTATCAGCAACGTGCTCTTGACATCCAACTGGAGAAGCTCGGCCCGCAACATGTTAACGTTGCAACAATCAACAATAACTTATCTTTAATTTACAAGCATTTAGGTGAATTTGAGCAAGCCAAAGAGTATCAGCTACGTGCTCTAGAAATCAAATTAGAAAAACTGGACCCGGAACATGTTGATGTTGCAACAAGCTACCATAACTTAGCTTTGATTTACAGGCATTTAGGTGACTTTGAGGAAGCCAAGGAGTATCAGCTACGTGCTCTAGACATCCAGTTGGGAAAACTGGGCCCGGAACATGTTGATGTTTCAACAAGCTACCGTAACTTAACTTTTATTTACAAGCATTTTGGTGAATTTGAGAAAGCCATGGAGTATCAGCAACGTGCTCTAGACATCGATCTGGACAAGCTCGGCTCGGAACATAATAAGGTTGCAACAGACTACCGTAACTTGGCTTTGATTTACCATGATTTAGGTGACTTGGAGAAAGCCAAAGAGTATCAGGAACGTGCTCTGGCCATTAGTGCGGACAAGCACCGGCTGAACAAAACACCAAATAAGGTACATGGAGGACTGCTAACAGACGCAAAAAACTATATTATGGAAATTATATTTCTTCTAGAAAGAATTTACGCAGTCTTTAAGGTTTATCGCGTTGGTGTTGTGTTAAAATTTAAGAGGCTGAATTTTTTAGGGTTTTTTTTTTTCACAGCAGCATAAGTTGCGTCTGAAACTGCGAGGATCTTCTTTGCATTTTTTCTTCCGCAGTTCCAGTATTTGAAATTCGTATAATCTTTATAAATGATTTTAATTTGATAAACTCAAAACGGTTTACATATAATAATCATGGAATCGATATTTGGGACGTTGGTAAGACATCTCTTAATTCAGGTTTAACTGTAACAGTTTCCGTTTACGCTCTATTCCTGCTTTCCGTATCTTCAAGTTTCTTCTAATGAAAAAACCTATTAGTCCTTGCAGATTACTCATGAAGCTAAAAGGCATTTTTCACAATCCAAGAAAGAAGATGATAACGATGAGGATGATGGTAAAGGCAGTAGTAAGGACTGTAAAGCAAAAAGCGTTCTTAAGTTAAAAATGTCTCCTCCTGCTAATTTTGAATGATTTTAATCAAGGGCGCGTTCCTTTAGAGAAAATTCGATAAGGTTTAATCGTTGCACAATCTTACAGTCTTTGGAGTTGACGCGACACGGGGAACGTGAGTAAAAACCCGGAGATGGGTTCTTCAGCGTTCCAAAAATATTTGTGTGAAACGCTTGCAATAACGTAGAATGCTTGACAGGTGTAATTTTTTTGGACCCATGCCCAAACAAACTCATTAATTGTGAATCTATAAATGCGGATTTAGATTTAATCTATCACCAAATCTATTGGGAGTGTGTTTTTAGTTTTAGTAAAGAAAGGCAAAATTCGCGTTTGGATGATTGTCTCAAAGAAAAGTGCCCTAAGTCAAAAGTCAGTTACATCCAAAAAGAAATTTGGAGGCAAACACAATTTCGGATTTTGGGTTGCTTATTCAAACAAATTACAGATTGAGTTCAACACCGCGATTTATTAAGTTATTTTCAATTTTTGAATTTATTAAGTGTAAAATACAGAAAAACATTCACAGCAGCGCTCAAAATCTTGCTTTATAAGGTTTCGAACATTGAGCCCAGTTGTTCGCGTTGGAGTTGGCGCCATGACGAACTCAGCACGTAAACAACACGTGATTTCTCCTTTTGGTACGTTTCAATCTAGCTCTTGTGATTGGTTAAGCCGTTTTAGGTACCTTGGGAACAGTCACCGGTAATTCTTTTGTTCAGATTGATGTATCCATGGAAATTTCCCCGAGGCAACTTCACCTTGGGAAAATCGGTCACACACAAGAAGTTGCTTCCCCCTGGGCAACAGCCATTTGCCCATGGAAAAAATGGGTAGTGTAGCCGCACATATTTTTAGGCCGCACTAAAAGGATATCTAATGGTCGACGTTTGACTTTCCTCGTATCTTGTGCATTAGAAGCTAAACTCAAACTTGTTCCTTTCACAGACAAAAGAGCTACGAGAGACAAACACAATGCTAGACAAAAAAAACAGCAGATGGCTAAGAAAGGTTCAGATGCTGATAGTGATGTGTCATCTGAGGGAGATGGTTACCTGGATTCACAGGAAGAGGATCTCAGATCTGACAGCTTTGTATCTTTCGATGGTGAGATACTTTGACCTTTTAATCCCCAATATCTGTCTTTGTCTGGTTATATATGCTGTTGCTGTGATCTAGCCTGTTTTTTTCAACCACCCCTCCCTAATTTGTTTAAAGGGAGTGGTTAGCTATATACAGGCTACTGTGTTCCAGTTGGATCACCTTGCCTGTCGTTTTTTCTTCCTCTACTGTGCTTCTTCAGTTCTCCCTTTGCCTCTCCGCTACTTTCTTTCTGCTTGCTTTCATCCCTGCATCATCATAATGTGTAACAGCTGTAGTTACATCGGCCAAACAAGAAGCGGGAAATATTAAAGTTAAGTAACGTCTTTTATAAAGGGTACTACTGTATAATGGGCTCCTAATCATCTGCTGCAACTGCTCCAAAGATATGGAACGTCTTACTGGACTATATTAGGAAAGGGAAGAATTTCGATAAGTTTAAGAAATTTCTTAGTAAAACCTACTATTTTAGGGAAGCGTACAGCGAGGTTCTTTTGTTTTCTACTCTTATATCCTTTTTTCTCTCTTGCTCGTTTTTAGTAATGCTAAATTATTGATGTAGCAATTGAAAGTGTAAATAATTTCAGTTCTATATAGGTTTCATTTTTGTGTATGCGCATTTGATCATATACCTATAGTTGTCGCTGTAGATGTATCAAATATTATTATTATTATTATTATTCTAGTACTTGTGTAATATGGTCTTGAATTGTTCACTTCCATGCTCTGTATCGGAGTATGTAACTGCTTTCTTTGCAAGGTTACAATTCACCACAGTACCTCTTTGATGCTCTTATCATTATCATCATCATCAACAACATCATCATCATCGTCATTATTTTTGTTATTATTATCTTCATCATAAAGACCTGTATTGCATTGTCTGGCTCATTAATTCTTGTTCATGAAAGAATGTCCTTAAAGATATAATTCCATGTATGGTGAAAATTTATTATAGTTGACACTTTGTTCCTTGTTTTTATTTATCTTGTTGTCCTGTCGAGGACATAAGACAAATTCCTGGCCTTACTCTTTAAGTAAAAGAAAAGATGTAACGTAAAGCATTTAAAACAAGCATTTAGTTTACATGTTAAATTATACGACAACAACAATAGCGCTATCGTACTACTGTAACGGTTTTCATTACGTTTTCGCATAGCAGAAGATGCAACAACTTTGAAACTTGAAGATGACCTTGATACAGAAGAGACATCAAGTGAAGATGAGGATAAATTACCAGAAGAAGCACGTGGGCTAAAAGACTTGTGGGAAGGAGATGAAGAAAAGGAGTCCTGGGACGAGGACGAGCACAAGCAAGAGGGCGACACCGATGAGGACGCGAACGATGATGAGCACGAGCTTGAGGGCGACGACGATAACGACGACGATGAGGACAAGGACTCGAACGAGGACGAGCACGAGCAAGAGGGCGACGACGATGACGAGGATGAGAACGGGAACCGGGACAAACACGAGCACGAGGGCGACGACGACGACCACGATGATGACAACGACGAGGATGAGAACGAGGACGAGGATGTGCACGAGCATGAAGGCGACGGCGACGACGACGATGAGGACGCGAACGAGGACGAGCACGAGCATGAGAGCGACGAGGACCAGGATGAAATGACGAGAACGGCTGCGTTGTTTTTACAAGGTTAGAAATAATGGGAGCTTGATAAGACTTATAAGATATAGAGCATCGTAAGTGAAATCCAAGCATAGAGCACTGCTGTGGCAAATCATCATCATTGCTGTCAGCCCGATGCTACTAAGAATGATGGACTGAAGACTATAGGGTTCATCAGAGTTTGATCGGTCGTTAGCACTCACCTGACAACGGTCGAGATCGATGTTTTTCCTTTTCATGTTTTTCTTAGCAACGTCTTTGAACCTTAACCTTGGGGTCCCTTGATTACGCATGCTCAAACAGAGCTGAGAGTATAATAGCTGCGTTGGATTATCCATCCTATGCAAGTGACCGGCCAGAGACTCCCTGTGAATGTAGCCCCACCAACCGGGGGTGAAATATCTATTTTCCGCAGTCTGTGCATGAAATTTTATGGAGTGATGATTTATTTAATAAAGCCTATTCAGCAAGAACTTTTACCATTTCGGATTTAGTTGTATTTGGTCCTTATCAGGTGTGTAAGCAATTTTTGAATGAACTGTTCCCTTTCTTTTTCAGCAAAAGCTAAGAAGCAACCATCAGGGGCCGGTAAAAGAGGACTTTTCAGCGCAGAGGAAATTGCGAAAAGCAAAAGACCTCGTGTATCCCCGGCACCTTTCTCGGGTGGGTTGGGAGAAGGATCAGGAACAAGTACCCCAGTTCTAACCGGTAATGAAAAGAGTCCTCATGGAAGTAAGAAAGTACCTCACAAGTAAGCCCATGACCACTGAGGTCCTTTTTCAAAAACCTTCAAGAGCAAACGAACCGGACTGTCTACTAATGCCACCATGGAAAAGCTTGTTGATATTTTGAGGAAGATATTATAAGAGCAGAAAGCCATCAAAGGGAATCTTTATCTTTTGCTGAGATAAAAGAGCTTAGATCTACATGCAGATCATTTCTGGATTCAAAGATTACCAACGAAAGACTTACTTTCTATCATTTAGTAAGAACTATATTTTTAAGGTAGCACATGCAAAATCCACTTTGTGGTAATTACCGGGAAATGATAAACAAACAGAAAAAGATTTTCCTTCCACATTGACAATTGCTGGATACGTCAAATTGTCAAACCTTTCTTGTGAATTGCCAAACTGGATTTTTAACAGCACGTAAATGATGGAAAAGGATAATGTTTCAATGTAAATAATGTATGGGTTGATTTAGGGGTGGTCTGAGGAGATCGCGCCTTCCCTTTTTCTGTGAAATTTTGCAATTTTTTTCTTGAAGAAATCTCAGTAATATATAGCTTACAAGTGTCCAGCAGATCCTCCCTCCCCCCTGACTTTCTAAATTTTCTAGACCCCCTTGTACATGTTCTTAACCTTTCAGTTTTCGTTAGTATGGTTGTTGAAGTTGTTCATGTAAAACTCCATTTGCTCAATAGATTTATCAATAATTTCTTATTGTAAACTCAAGACCACACCATTTTTCAACATGAGGTCTTATAGGTCCGCAAGGGACTGTCCACTATAATGTTGTGAAGAATTTTCTAGGTTGTTATGAAGATTTTTGTCATGTGGTAATTACTTAGCTGATTTATGTTTGCACTTGAAGATTTACTCGTGCTTAGCCAGAGACTCGTTATAATAAGTTTGTTTTCAAGGGTATTTCCGTAATGTTATAGACAGGTTTTGGAATTTTATTACCTTAAAAAGGGTTTTTTGTAACATAATAGTGTCATTTATTAAATTTGAGTGTCAGTCCTTGAAGTGAGCACGTTTTTGGGTTATAGCTGACTATGTTTGTTACCAACATCAGAGTTCCTGTTTTGGTTTAAGATAGAGCCTCGTGGGTTAAGTTTTTAGAAAGTGCGTTCATTACTCATGGTCAGCAAGAAAAAAAATGCACTAGTCTGAGTGTCAATGCATTTAGCACGAAAGTCAACTGGGGACTATTTTGGCTCCAACTGGAGACTATTCTCGGATACCCAGTGGCGGTCAGTTGAGTCGGAAAAAAAGGCCGTGGCCAATAACAGACCCTATCTTAGTCACATTTGGGCAAATGTAATTTTCTCGATCCCACCATAGTTAAGGCGATGTTACACGGAACGATTCGTAACGACGCTTTTTAGCGCAACACAGCATTACAACATTGTTGCAACATTATTTTGAATGGTTGCAACATTGTTCCAACATTGCTACGCTGTGTTGCGCTAAAAATCGTCGTTGCGAATCGTCCCGTGTAACATCACCTTTTCTTTCTATTTGTGTATCTACAGTACTTTATAATGAATGAAGAATACTTC